CCGAAAACCCCCTTCTACCCCCTCAACCCATACAAACCCCTCATTTTGTACGCTCAGGGCTGCCTCCTCTGATTATTATGGAGCTGCCTGACAGGTTAAGAAAACTTGCTTGCCTGACTTTAGGTCTATTCTCCCTTCTCTCGGCTACCCCTACAAAGGCAAATGGATCACTTGATGTTGCGAGTTCAAGACCAGCCTGGCTTGGTGAAATGAACATGGTGAAATCCTGTCTCTTCTAAAAACAGAAAAATTCATTGAGCATGGTGGCAAATGTCTGTAGTCTCAGGTACTCAGGAGGTTGAGGTGGGAGAATTGCTTGAACCTGAGAGGCAGAGGTTGCAGTGAGCCAAAATCATACCACTGCACTTCAGCCTGGTGACAGAATGACTCTGTCTCAAAATGAAAAAAAAAAAAAAAAAAAAAAAAAAGGCTGAGAGTGGTGGCTCATGCCTGGACAGTATGGTGAAACCCCATCTTTATTTAAAATACAAAAAATTAGCCGAGTGTGGTGGCACGCACCTGTAGTCCCAGCTGCTCAGGAGGTTGAGGCAGGAGAATTGCTTGAATCCAGGAGGCGGAGGTTGCAGTGAGCTGAGATTGTGCCAGTGCACTCCAGCCTGGGTGAAAGAGCGAGACACCATCTCAAAAAAAAAAAAAAAAAAAAGAAAAAGAAAAAAGAAGTATTTTTCTATTCTGCAGGGTTTCTATATGATCTTTACTTGAAAGATACAAGACTATATTGTCCAGGTGAGCACCTTGAAACTAATGGCGAGGGCTGATCCTGAGTTCTGCATTGGTCGGCATTCATGTTTCTGTTTCTGGTTGAGGAGGTGGAGCTACTGCCCTCGGGATGGAGGAAAAGATGCTCTGTGGCCATCACCAGGCACTAACCCTTTATATCGAAATTTCATTGATTCCTCGGAGCTAGGATGAAAGGTAGCATCATCATCCCGATCAGTGAACAAGAAAACTGAGGCTTCAGAACACTGAGTGACTTGTTCAAGGTCCACACCTGCAAGCCCAGAGGATGCCTCTGGGGTCGGGGAAGGGCCATAGGGTCATGCCCTTCACACAGTCTCCGCAGTCCTGGAGGTGCTGCTCAGTGCACAACGCCAGGGGGCGCCATGTGCATCGCAGGACCCTCTGTGGTTTCCCAGCCCTCAGGGCTGCAGCTGCTGCCTCCTCCGACTGATTTCTGCGAAGGTGGTTTCCTGCGGGCAGCATTATACGTGGTAATGACCATGATACTCATGACTGGACCCTTGGGGACAGGGCCCCTGCCAAGCCAGGCCCTCCAAGGCCCCCAACTTGCTTTTCTTTCTGCGATGTCTTGTGTGTGCCCCAGCTACCTGTGTTGTGAACTTAATTCCCGCAGAGGATAGATGCAATAGGAGTCTCATAAATGCATCAGCAACCAGGCAAAGAGGTATAAATAAGTAAACAAGTTGTGCCTCTGAAGCTCTCAGTGGGGTAAAGCATCCTCGGAAGGGTGTTTACGGGCCTGAGCTGGAAAGGGAAGAGGTGCAAGTTCCATCCTCCACCGGGTTCCTGTTGGCGATCTGAGCTGGAACGAGGGACGGGATGGCATGATAGTGAAGTGGCGGGTCTGTCATCCAATCCTGACCTGGCTGCGGCGTGAGTGTCAAAAATGGCCACCATGCTGCGTTTCTCCCATCGTTGAGATATATTTTTCCACTCCTGTTTTTTTCTTTTTTTCTTTTTAAAGTTGGTGCAAACACTCCTTCTGTTTTTGTGTGTGTATGTGAGACCGAGTCTCACTCTGTTGCCGGGGCTGGAGTGCAGTGGCGCAATCTCGGCTCCCTGCAACCTCCCGGGTTCAAGTGATTCTCCTGCCTCAGCCTCCGGAGTAGTTGAGATTACAAGCACGTGCCACCACGCCTGGCTAATTTTTTTTTTTGTACTTTTAGTAGAGATGGGGTTTTACCATATTAGCCAGGATGGTCTCCATCTCTTGACCTCATGATCTGCCCACCTCGGCCTCCCAAAGTACTGGAATTACAGGCGTGAGCCACTGTCCCTGGCCATATTTTTCCTCTTCTTCTTCTCTTCTTCCCCTCCCCCACCCCCACCCCCTCCCCTCCCCCTCCCCCTCCTTCTTCTCCTTCTTTTTTGAGGTGGAGTCTGCTCTGTTGCCCAGGCTGGGGTGCAGCAGCCTGATCTCGGCTGACTGCAACCTCCACTTCTGGGGTTCAAGCGATTCTCCTGCCTCAGCCTCTGGAGTAGCTGGGACTACAGGCATGCACCACCACACCAAGCTAATTTTTCTATTTTTAGTAGAGATGGTGTTTCACCGTGTTAGCCAGGATGGTTTTCATCTCTTGACCTCATGATCTGCTCACCTCAGCCTCCCAAAGTGCTGGGATTACAGGCATGAGCCACCACGCCTGGCCATATTTTTCCACTTCTTTTGGACCAATACAATGTAATGGAAGTGAGGACTTGTGGCTTCCAAGCCAGGACCTCGAAAGGTCTTGCCCACTTCCGCATTCTTTCTCTTGCACCTTGGTGTGATACGCGCCTGGATTAGAGTGCTGGGGGATAACAGACCATGTGCAGGAGAGTGTCCCAAGCAAGGCCAACCTAGACCAGCCTGTCCCAGCTGTCCTGCCAGCTGACAGCAGATTCATGAGCAAGCCAAGTCCCGCTGAGCTCAACATAGCCAGCAAAACCACATGGCTGACCTGTAGATCTCGAACTGTAATAGAGGCTTAACACTTTATAAGTCATTCATTTAGATTAGTTTATTATGCAGCAACAATTAACTGATATGGCCAATTATAGTGAAATGATCATGGTCCATTTGCTCACCCCTCTGAGGCTCAATTTCATCATCTGTGAGACAGATATGATATATGATTGTAGTCTCTGTCCCAGAGGACTGATAGGAGGAATAAATTAAATGTTCATAAAGTTCTTAGCGCAGTGTCTGACACGGAGAATATCAGCTGCAATGGGCCAGGTGGTGCTGCCTTAATTAGCAACCCCAGGCTGGGTGCAGTGGCTCATGCCTGTAATCCTAGAATGTTGGGAGGCTTTGAGTGGATCACCTGAGGTCAGAAGTTCGGGGCCAGCCTGGCCAACATGGTGAAACCCCATCTCTACTAAAATTAAAAAAATTAGGCCAGGCGTGGTGGCTCACGCCTGTAATCCAAGCACTTTGGAGGCCAAGGCAGGTGGATCACCTGAGGTCAGGAGTTCAAGACCAGCCTGACCAACATGGAGAAACCCTGTCTTTAAAAAAAATAATAAAAAATAAAAAAATTAGCCAAGTGTGGTGGTGCGTACCTGCAGCCCCAGCTACCTGGGAGGCTGAGGTGGGAGAATCGCTGGAACCTGGGAGGCGGAGGCTTCAGTGAGCTGAGATCGTGCCACTGCACTTCAGCCTGGGTGACAGAGCAAGACTCGGTCTCAAAAAAAAAAAAAAAAAAAAAAAAAAAAAAAAAAAAAAATTAGCAACCCCAAATCGTAGTGACTTTAAGCAGCAAAAGTCTATTTCCTGCCCTTGTTACTTGTCCACAGTAGGTGGACCGGGAGCTGTGAGCACCCTGGTCACGTAGAGTCCTGAGCTGGGGTCGTTCTTCATTTTGGCACTTTGCTGGCCACAGCACCAGGGAGAAAAGAGAAGCTAGCGGTGGGGGGAGCCGAGAACTCATCGGCCCCACCTACCCAAAGGGCCCACCCTTATTGCTGGAAGGGGAGAGCTGGGAATATTTGGTGAACAACATTTATGACTTCACATGAGCTGTGAACAAGTGTTACGTGTTGCTTTCTGCTTGAAAAGTTGGGAGAGTTGTAAAGTGAAAATAGGCCGGGCGCGGTGGCTCACGCCTGTAATCCCAGCACTTTGGGAGGCCGAGGCGGGTGGATCACGAGGTCGAGAGATCGAGACCATCCTGGTCAACATGGTGAAACCCCGTCTCTACTAAAGGTGCAAAAAATTAGCTGGGTGTGGTGGTGCGTGCCTGTCATCCCAGCTACTCAGGAGGCTGAGGCAGGAGAATTGCCTGAACCCGGGAGGCAGAGGTTGCGGTGAGCCGAGATCGCGCCATTGCACTCCAGCCTGGGTAACAAGAGCGAAACTCCGTCTCAAAAAAAAAAAAAAAAAAAAAAGTGAAAATAAAAAGAAGCAATATTGTTTTTGTTTTTTTTTTTGAGACAGGGTCTCACTCTGTCTTCCAGCCTGGAGTCCAGTGGCACAATCTCAGCTCACTGAAGCCTTTGCCTTCTGGTTGCAGTGATTCTCCTACCTCAGCCTCCCAGGAAGCTGGGTTTACAGGGGCCCTCCACCACGCCAAGCTAGTTTTTGTATTTTTGGTAGAGACAGGGTTTCACCATGTTGCCCAGGCTGGTCTCAAACTCCTTAGCTCAAGCAGTCAACCCACCTCAGCCTTCTAAAGTGCTGGTATTACAGGCATGAGCCACCTCGCCTGGCCGGAAGCAATGATAATAGAAGTCACAATAGCATAATAGCAGCTCCATGTATTGAGTACCTACTGTGTGCCAGCACACAGGGACAGGCTGTTTTTTTGAGACAGAGTTTTGCTCTTGTTGCCCAGGCTGGAGTGCAACAGAGTGATCTTGGCCCACTGAAACCTCTGCCTCCTGGGTTCAAGCAATTCTGCCTGTGGGTCCGGAGTAGCTGGGATTACGGGCATATGCCACCACGCCTGGCTATTTTTGTATATTTAGTAGAGACGGGGTTTCTCCATGTTGGTCAGGCTGGTCTTGAACTCCTGACCTCAGGTGATCTGCCCACCTCGGACTCCCAAAGTGCTGGGATTACAGGCATGAGCCACTTTACCCAGCCTAGGGACAGGCCTTTTATCTGTATCATTGAATCCTTGTAAGAACCCTGTTAGATCAATCTTCTTATCCCTTATTTAATGCAGGATGGGGCTCAGATTGTGTAAAGGGCCTGCCTGGCATCGCCAGGTTCGTGGTAGAGCCAAGGTTTGCAGACAGCACTTTTTTTTTTTTTTTAAACTATGGAACGCTTCATGAATTTGCATTTCATTCTTGCTCAGGGGCCATGCTAATCTCTGCATCATTCCAGTTTTAGTATATGTGCTGCTGAAGCGAGCATGGATCCAGGACTCTGAAGCTTTCTTTCTTTCCAGTAAACTGTGTGACCCCTTTTTACTGCTCCCCAAAGGCTGACCAAGGTGTCCCAGAGATTAGGCACGGGGCCAGACCAGGTTGTCCATCAGTTGGACCAGTCCGTCTGGACTTCTGTCAGTTATGATCAGGAATCAGCCGAGAATAGGTCAAGTACAGTGGCTCATTCCTGTAATCCAGCGCTTTGGGAGGCTGAGGCGGGAGAATCGCTTGAGGCCTAGAGTTCAAGACCAGCTTGGGCAAAATAGCGAGACCTCCATTTCTGAAAAGAAAAGAAACCAGCAAAGAACTGTCTGGTTTTGCACCTTCACTCCCCAGATCCTTCCGGTTTTGTGCTATGAATTTTTTTGAGGAATTCCAGTGTAGGCTGAGGTAGACAAGAGGCACAGGGTCTTCTTAGCCCCATCAGACTGATGGCAGCTCCTCCCCTCACACAGCCGTTCATAACAATGGCCTGTGTTTACTGAACCGGCACTGTCTACCCACGCTATGCTAAGTGCTCTGTGAGCATTTTCTCTTTCTTTCTTTCTTTCTTTCTCTCTTTCTTTCTTTCTCTCTTTCTCTCTTTCTCTCTTTCTCTCTTTCTCTCTCTGTCTCTCTTTCTTTCTTTAGAGTTTTACTCTTGTTGTCCAGGCTGGAGTGCAATAATGAAATCTCGGTTCACTGCAACCTTCGCCTCCCAGGTTCCACTGATTCTCCTGCCTCAGCCTCCCAAGTAGCTGGGATTACAGGTGTGTACCACCATGCCCAGCTAATTTTTTTTGTATTTTTAGTAGAGACAGTGTTTTGCCATGTTGGGCAAGCTGTTCTCAAACTCCTGATCTCAGGTGATCCTCCCGACTGGACTCCCAAAATGCTTGGATTACAGGTGTGAGCCACCGCACCCAGATGAGCATTTTCATTTTGAAAGCTCCCTGTAACCCTCTGTTATTGTCCCCATTTTATACAAGCAGGAGCACATGCATAGAGGGTTATATGTCTTGTCCAAGGTCCTACAGTCTGTAAGAAGCCAGAACTGGAATTCAGACAGCGTCACCCCACGTCTTCACCTTTAAGCTTAAGCTATAAAGGGTTCTTACATTCTCGAGCTCTTGAGCTCATCTGGTCTCTCCTCCATCTTATCTGTACCCTCCGCCGCATGCGCACACACACGCTCACGTAAGAGATGACCAAAGCAGTTATGATGACTCCATCTCTACAAACATGGTATCTGAGGCTGAGGGACATGTTCAAGGTCACAGACTGGTCACCTGGTTCAAATCCAGTGTCCTGGCTGGGTGCCATCGCTCATACCTGTAATCCCAGAACTTTGGGAGGCTGAGGCAGGTGGATCACTTGAGGCCAGGAGTTTGAGACTAGCCTAGACAACATGGTGAAACCCTGTCTCTGCTATAAATGCAAAAATTAGCCGGATGTGGTGGCGGGTGCCTGTAGTCACTACCACCTGCGCCTCCTGGGCTCAAGCCATCATCCCCCTCAATCTCCCAATTAGCTGGGACTACAGGCACACACCACCACACCAGGATAATTTTTGTATTATTATTATTTTTTTTGTAGAGATGGGATTTCATCATGTTGCCTAGGCTAGACAAGCAATCCTTGCCCCTAGACAAGCCCCTCCTGGCCTCAAGCAATTTGCCCACCTCAGCCTCCCAAAGTGCTGGGATTACAGATGTCCGCCATTGTGCTCAGCCTAGCACAAACTCTTTTTTTTTTTTTGAGGCAGAGTCTCGTTCTGTCACTGAGGCTGGAGTACAGTGGCACGTCTCGGCTCACTGCAACCTCTGCCTCCCCAGTTCAAGTGATTCTCCTGCCTCAGCCTCCCAAGTAGCTGAGACTACTGGCTCACACCACCACACCCAGGTAGTTTTCTATATTTTTAGTAGAGATGGGGTTTTACCATGTTGGTCAGGCTGGTCTTGAACTCCTGACCTCAGGTGATCCACCCACCTCAGCCTTCCAAAGTGCTGGGATTACAGGTGTGAGTCACCGTGCCTGGCCAGAGAACACTCTTATATGATGCTAACTGATTCAGGAATTTGGACCAAGTACAATTGGGACAACTTGTCTCTGCTTTATAATGTCTGAGGTCTCGGCTGGGAAGACTTAAAATCTGCAGTGACTTGACAGCTTGGCACTGGAATCACCTAGAAGCATCTTCACTCATGTGCCTGGGAGCTGATGCTGGCTCTGCCTGGGACTCAGTGGGGCTGTTGACCAGAGCCACTTCATGGGATCTGTTCATGTAGCTTGGGCTTCCTTATGTCATGGTGAACACAGGGTAGTTGGTCTCTCATTTTTTTTTTTTTTTTGAGACAGAGTTTCACTCTTGTTGCCCAGGCTGGAGTACAATGGGGTGATCTTGGCTCCCTGAAACCTTTGCTCCCAGGTTCAAGTGATTCTCCTGCCTCAGCCTCCCCAGTAGCTGGGATTACCAGCATGCACCACTACATCCAGCTAATTTCATATTTTTTTAGTAGAGATAGGGTTTCTCCATGTTGGTCAAGCTGGTCTCAAACTCCCAACCTCAGATGATCTGTCCGCCTTGGCCTCCCAAAGTGCTGGGGTTACAAGTGTGAGCCACTGCGCCCGGCTATTAGTAAATCTCTTACATGGCAGCTCCAAAGGTGAGTGTCCCAGCTAACAAGGTGGAGATTGGGTGGTCTTTTCTGACTCACCCTCTGAAGTCACATAGTATCATTTTTGCTGCATTCTGTTGGTTATAATACAGCCATGAGCCTGCCCAAATTTAGGCATAGACTCTATCCTTTTTTTTTTTTTTTTGGATACAGAGTCTTGCTGTTGCCCAGGCTGGAGTGCAGTGCTGTTTTCTCAGCTCACTGCAACCTCTGTCTCCTGGGCTCAAGCCATCCTCCCCTCTCAACCTCCCGAGTAGCTGGAACTACAGGCATGTGCCACTACGCTCAGCTAATTTTTTTTTTTTTTTTGGCAGAGATGGTGTTTCGCCATGTTGCTCAGGCTCCTGGGCTCAAGCAATCGCCTGCTTTGGCTTCACAAAGTGCTGGGATTACGGTGTGAGCCACCATGCTCAAGCTGTATCTCTTGAGGAACAGAAAGTCAAGGAATTGGTGGACATGTTTAAAAACTGCTACAGGCCAGGAGCAGTGACTCACGCCTGTAATCTCAGCACTTTGGGAGGCTGAGGTGGGTGGATCACGAGGTCAGGAGATCGAGACCATCCTGGCTAACATGGTGAAACCCTGTCTCTGTTAAAAATGCAAAAAATTAGCCAGGGCATGGTGGTGGGAGCCTGTAGTCCCAGATACTCAGGAGGCTGAGGCAGGAGAATTGCTTGAACCTGGGAGGTGGAGGTTGCAGTGAGTTGAGATCGTGCTACTGCACTCCAGCCTGGGTAACAGAGCAAGACTCCATCTCAAAAAACAAGAAACAATAAATAAAAAAAACTGCTACAGATAGAGAGCATGAATGCCTGACCAGACAGACCTAGGGCCATGAGAAACTGAGACTGGGAGTGTGAAGCCTTAATGGGTTCAGGGGTCGGCACTGGCGCCGACCTCCAGCAAACCATCACTGTTTCTTGGCAGCACTCCAAGAACCTCAGGCATGTATAGCTGTAGGAGCTTCCTGCCTTCATCTCAGGTGATGTGGCCCTAGAGACCAATGGTGTGGCCCATGCCTTGAGTCCCATAGGTGGGAGGGGACATTGGTAGCCTCTCTGGACAGAATCCCCTGCACTGCCCAGCAAGGGGCCCTCAAGGCACACTCTGGCTGTGTGCACACAGGGTCAGCCCCTCCCCACAAATACAGAGCACACTGTTGATGGCCTTCTCTGACCTACCTTGGCTGTGTTGGTGGCTGAGGTACACAGCACCCCTGGAGGAGCACGTGGCTTGGCGCCAGCGCTGGCTTTGCAGTGGCGCAGGCTGTGATCACTTTCCTGACCTGAACTTTGGATTTCCTGGATGCAGAGTGAGTAACAGCATGGACTACATGATCTTCTGGTTTCCAGAATTCCAAAACTCCAAGGAGTACCTGAATTTCTTCACAGGTAGTTTCTTACCCCCAGTCCCAGGCTGACTGCAAGCTCTGTGAGGGCAGATTACGTCTTTTTTCTTTTCTTTTTTTTTTTTTTTTTTTTTCGAGACAAAGTCTTGTTCTATTGCCCAGGCTGGAGTGCAGTGGTGTGATCTTTGCTCGTTGCAACTTCTGCTTCCCTGGTTCAAGCGATTCTCCTGCCTCAGCCTTCTGAGTAGCTGGGATTATAGGCGCATGACACCATGCCCAGCTAACTTTTGTATTTTTAGTAGAGAAGGGTTTTCACCATGTTGGCCAGGCTAATCTCGAACTTCTGACCTCAAGTGATCTGCTAGAGCCTCCTAAAGTGCTGGTTACAGGCGTGAGCCACCATGCCTGGCCGGATCATGTCTTTTTGACTCTGGCAAGGCACTGCCCCACTGTGGGCCTCAGCATCCTCATCTGGAAAATGGGTGTGCCAATGGGACTCACCTCAGGAGCTTGTTGGGAGGCAGAGAGGCTTATGAAAACACCTGGCACTTAGTAGGTGGTTAAGGACAGCTTCCTGCCTTCCTGCTTTGCTGTGGGTGCCCTCTGAACCCAGGGAAGTGAGTTAATGGGCCGCTGGTCCGCATGGATCTGCTGGGAGTTTGGGGAGAGCATGTGGATGGTTGCCTTGTCCATCACAGCTTCTGGGTGCAGTTCCGGGAGCAGCTTCCGGTGACACAGCGAGTGGAGACAGGTCTCTAGAGATGCTTCTGTCTGTACAGAATGGACTGATCTCAGGGCCTCTGCCTTGGGCCTCCTGCTGTGCCCTGGGATGCCATGCTGGGCTGCAAGTGGGCATCGGGCTGGGTGCACAGGAGGCACTGCCCTCTGGGGAAAAGGAACATGACTGGCGACAGTCACAGGAGCAACAGCAGCAGCCCCTTCCAGGCACAGCAGCTACTGGGCACCAAGCACCTCATCCTC